GGTCGCATCTCTACTCGACTCTTCGCATAGAAGAGACCCCCTGCAGAGTTTGAATATTATCGATCGAAGACCAGTAACATGGCGACCGGTTCCCGATCAGAGCGTTCACGTTTTCGAGGAAGTTAAGATCGATTTCTGGCCTAAATATTTCAGAACATACTGTCTTTTCGGTGATGTCAGGTCTACAGCTGAGGTGAGCGTTGGTTTTGTGCTGTTTTCCAGAAATCAGCTTTAATTTGCTGTAGCTCCGACTTCAATGAGCGTTTGATTCAAGGAAAACTCGTTTTTTTTCGTTTATTGAATTGGAGATTAACATTTTTTGGTATGTTTGGGAAAGTTTCACTCTCATCAGTGTAGGATATGGGTGTGTAAGCTTTCCTGTAGTGTAAATCACATTTGTTTTTTGGTCAAATTTAAATACCGTGGTGCATCCCAAGTTTTAAATTTAACTGCGAGCTACAGTACAACACTTTTCTAGGCAACATTAAATTGAGGGTGCTGTGATTACTATGTGCTTCAACAAGGAGAATTTATTGATTAAGGTACAATGTGTGTAGGTTTCAAATTAATGAGGGAAAATAAAAGCTATACGTCTACATGTGTGTTCTTACATGTACAGCGAAAAGTAGATTTTGGCTGAATCGATCACAAGAGAGTTGTCAAAATGAGTTCTTGGTTTTAACTTTAGATTAGAACGGCTTAAGTTTACATTACAAAGGCTAGTGATGTGCTTATGACAAAAAGACAACATTTTCAATCATTCTTGACAATATTGTTTAGTATACTTTTTTGTTTACAGCAAATTCTGTCGACATCCAACAACACTGGAATCTGGTGAAGTGTTATGAGGTCTTATGAAGACTCAGAATAAGTTGGAAGGTATAAATCCTGTAATAAATATTATTGAACATAACTGACTGTATGACCATCAAGGAAATGCTCACATGTGACTGGATTGGCTACATAGGTGTCATCTAATTATCAAGATATTGCACCTGGAGTTGGTTAATGTTTTGAGGTTGTTTCACTTTGAACTTTCTGAATTTTCTGCAATGAAAAGACCTATTTTTTCTTGTTTGAGCTTGCCATCTGATCAGTAACTGCAAGTTATTTTACTGATTAAGAATGACTTTCAACTTGGATATGAACCTGAGTTAGATGGGTTTTTTTTAATGATCTTTTTACCTGTATGAGAGGGGGTGTACATGTATTAGTGTATAGAGTGACACAGTGGCATCTTCAGGCACCATATTTAATTTGCTAATGTGTAGAACATCTTATGTGTTACTCTCTTATTTATCAAATACATCAGTGTCTACTCCCTGAGACTTCAGATACTCTTTTAAAACCTGCCCAGCATTGATTGGGCAGACACTTGCCCCTTTCTTCTGGAAGGTACTCCTTGACAATGATATCCAGCATCAGCTGCTCAAGTTCCCCATCCAATGTAGTGGGAACATGCAACCTTTTTTATCACTTAGGTGCATTGTTGACCCTTTCCTTTGCTGGATGGTTTTGCTTGATTTTAAACATCTGTAAATTGCTCCCTTTTACCCACCACACAGCCTGTATGTTTCTTGTAGAGCTTACTCTCTACTGGGGTCATTAAAATACAGCATTTGCATACATTTACCTGTACTGTGCAGGGTTGTTTTACCTAGGGCAGTTGGCTGCCAGCTT